AGCAATAGCTTGACAGGAGACCAAAAAAAGGCATTCAGATAACCCACAGGACTCCCTTCCTCTGAGACAAGGTATTCAGAATTAAGGTAGCAGTATTTTGCAGTAGCAAAATACAGAAGAAACACACACACACACCCTTATCATTACTGGCCAAATCAGCCTCTTCTTTCCTAGCGCAGAAATAAGTCCCATCTGCATGTGATTTGCAAGTAACCTACTGAAAGAAAGTGAGCTGAGAAGCCAGGTACCGTTCAAGCTTTATTAAAGGAAAAGAATCTGCCAGGCTGTGCTCAAAGTGACAGGCATCCCAGGGCTTCGCTCAAAATGGGGGGCAGCACAAGGTGTGGGGGTGGTAGAGATTATATAGGGTGCCAAGGGCTGGCTAATACAATCAAGGAGGGGCATTATGCTAATGTGGAAGCTATGCAACCAGCGTGGAGAATTGCACCCTTGCAGAAGCAAAAGGGTTTCTGTTTAAGTCACGAGGCTTCTTGTAAAGGGAAGGTGGGGAGGGGTTTGGTGCTGGAATAGAAGACAAAGCCAGCAGGTATTTTGTGCTTATTGTGTGCACAATGGCGCCTGTCATGTCCAAGATCCATCACCTACCTCTCTCAGAATTTAGAGATTTAGGGGCCAGCCCGGTGGCGCACTGGATAGTGCGCCGCTTGGGAAGCGCGGCAGCGCTCCCGCCCGAGGGTTCGGATCCCACATACAGACCGGCTCCCGCTCACTGGCTGAGCGAGGCGCGGGAGCAACACCGAGGCTTGCGATCCTGTTGCCGGTCCCCGGTCCGGTACGGGGGCAACACTGAGGGTTGCGATCCGTTGCCGGACACGGAAAAAAGACAAAAAAAAAAAAAGAAGAATTTAGAGATTTAGGGAAAGAAAGAGAATCCTCCAAGCAAGAAAAAGAAAGCCATTTCTGGAATTATAAAAAGATAATATTCAAGAAAATGTGGCTGGCGTGATGTGATATGATATGGTATGATATTATATGATATATGACATGATATGACATGGTCACTAGCCAGAGACTGAGTGCAGGTGGCCTCACAGATGAAAAATGCAGCTACGTGTGCCTCCCTGATGGTGATGACTCACCTCCTTGGGGAGGGATGGTTCCAGTCCAGACTAGTCCTAGAACAGGCTGTTCAGTTGTAGCAGTGCCCCAACTGATCTTGAGGTGTAGGCCAGTGGGAGATTTGGGTCAGAACCCCTGGAACTATGTAGCCCCTTCTGACTCACATCATACCTACCACCACCAGAGGCCTGACTTCCACATTAGTCCGGGAAAGAGCTTTATCTGGGATGGAGGTGACTTGTGAACAGGCTGGTCATCCTGGAATCATCAGAATCACAGCACATCTCACATTCCTAAGACTGGAGTCAAAACAGACTCCTTCATAGAGGCAAATCCAGAATCAGAGTATCTGATCCAATTGCATTACTTCCCTGTGCAACTTCTAGGTTTAAGCACAAAAGATAAAAAGAAAGAGGAGAGAAGACTGGGCTCTTTTATTAAAGTCACAATAAAACTGAAAGCACTCAGAGGGGTCAGAATTTTATGCAAAAATGCCCTGTTGGCACTTGCAGGAATTCATGTGAAGCCAAAGCTCAGATGACAAGAGGGAGCCAAGGAATTAAGATCTCTTAGAAAAAGCAGGAAATATCACCCAACAAGATTTCACCACATACTATAAGCTTATGTAAACATGGCGCTTGAGGTAAACCAAATAATTAATGGCTACATAACCACCACTCAATCATTTACAGGGCCCAAGATCTAAAAGTACAGGCATTTAGTAAAGAATGTTTTGGTAAATGGTCTTCATACCACTTCTAAATTTATACCTATAAACCTCTGGAATTAAAGTATATTCTTGACAATTCTACTGGGACAAGTCATCATAATTCTTGGACTCATAGACCCAGAAGAACGATGCTGGATTGTCTTTTTTTTTAAGATTCTGTTATTCTGGTTCAGGTCAGTCTTTCAATATTTGAAAAGATTTATTCTTATGTGGACAATGTGATCCACATAATCATCAAGCTGAGATATTAAAAGTTTAACTTTTTGCCATTTTTTTAAGTTTATAATATTCTTATTAGTTTATCAGTTACATTTATATAGATTAATTTAGGGCTCGACATTAAACAACCATTGCTTCTTGTTTAAAAATTTTAACAAAAGTTTTTTGTTTCATTTAAGATAGTGTTTTTATTGAAACATAATTGATTATAGGTATTTGTGGGGTACAGAGTTGACTATCACTACTTGTATACAATATGTGATAATCAAATCAGGATAGTTAGCTTATTCATCATTACAAAACATACTCATTCTTTGTGTCCATTAACCAATTTCTCCCTACCCTCCTCCCCCTTCCGCATTCCCTTCTAAAAGTCACAGTTCTGTTCTTTCTTTCTGAAAGTTCAACATATTATTGTATTTGTTGTTTGTTTCTTTGGTTCTTTCTTTCTTTTCTTTCTTTCTTTTTTTCTTTCTTATTTCTTTATTTATTTTTGCTCCCACTTACGAGTGAGGACAAGTGGCCTTTCTCTTTCTGTGTTTGGCTTATTTCACTTAATATAACTTTCTCCAGGCTCATCCACGTTACTGCAAATGGCAGAATTTCAGTCTTTTTTATGGCTGAGTAGTATTCCATCATGTATATATGCCACATTTTTTTTATCTAGTCATCCATCAATGGACATTTAGGTTGGTTCTATATATTGGCTACTGTAAATAGAGCTGTGATAAACATGGGAGTGCATGTTTCCTTTCAACACAATGATTTTCATTGCTTTGGGTATATACCCAGTCGTGGGATTGCTGGATCATATGGCAGTTCTATCTGCAATTGTCTGAGAAACCTCCATACTGTTTTCCATAGTGGCTGTACTAATTTGAAGTCCCATCAACAGTGAAGAAGGGTTCCCCTTTCTCCACATCCTCGCAGCATTTGTTATTCTCTTTTTTATAATATCCAGTCTCACTGGGGTTAGATGATATCTCAATGTAGTTTTGATTTGCATTTCCCTGATGATTAGTGATGTCAAGCATTTTTTCATGTATCTATTGGCCATTTGTATGTCTTCCTTTGAGAAATGTCTATTCAGCTCCTTTGCCCAATTTTTAGTTGGATTATTTGTATCTTTTTAACTGTTAAGTTGTTTGAGCTCCCAATCCTGAGAAAAAAAAAAAACAAAGCTGGAGGCATTACACTACCTGACTTCAAACTGTACTACAAAGCTAGAGTAACCAAAACATCATGGTACTGGTACAGGATAGAAAACCCAGAAATTAATACACATACCAACTGATCTTTGATAAAGGCACCAAGAACATACATTGGGGTAAGGATATCCTCTTCAATAAATGGTGTTAGGAAAACTGGATATCCACATGTAGAATAATGAAATTAGATCTGTACCTCTCATCACATAACAAAATCAACTCAAAATGGAAATGGATTAACAACTTAAATATAAGACCTGAAACTATAAAACTCTTAGAAGGAAACATAGGGGAAACACTTCAGGATGTGGGACTAGGCAAAGACTTTATGAATAAGACCCCAAAAGCACAGGTAACAAAAGAAAAAAATTAAAAATTAGATTATATCAAACTAAAAACCTTCTGCACAGAAAAATCAACAGAATGAAAAGACAACATATAGAATGGAAGAAAACATTTGCAAACTATGCATCTGGCAAGGGATTGATATCCAGAATATACAAGGAACTCAAACAATTTTTTCTTTTTTTTTTGCTGTTTTTAATAGTATGTCTCAAAATTTTTTTCTCTATAAATATTCAGTTTGTGGGTAGTAAACAGTAATAAAACAAGTTTATTTTAAGAAATATAGCCAACGTTCTCAGTGGCCATTACCCATCTTTGCATATAATCCGACCTGGCAGATGTATCAATCTTTCGAGTTAGAGGTAAAGGACCCATAACTAGCTGCTTCAAGTCTCTTAAATGTCTCAATTCACAGTCCACAAAGCAATTAGAAGAGACTTAACTATCTGTATCTGATGGTACAAGGTTTAGGTTATACATAGACGTAGCAAAATTTCACCTCAATCCAATTTCTCAATGTTTTCCTAGGCCAAGTACTCAGCAGGTTGGGGCATGTTTGTAGCATAGGAAAATATGCTTTTAGTTGACCAGGCTGAGCAGCCATGTTTCAGAACCCATGAATGGAGCACTGCTACAGGTTGAATTGTGTCCCCCAAAGGTTCATGTATTAATCCCCACTGTAACAGTATTGAGGGTTGGAAATCCTATTATGATAATTGAAAAGTAGGGCCTTTAATAGGTGATTAGATTGTGAGGACCATGCCCTAGTAAATGGATGGATTCTTTCATGGAATAATAAGTTAAGGCTTTAATGGGTGGTGATACGTATGGTTCTGATGGCTTTATAAGGAGAGCAAGTGAGCAGGTTAGCTCTCTCTTGCTCAAGCCATCGTCACCATATGAAACCCTGCCTTGCTGTGAAGAGTCACCACCCACCAACAAGACCCTCACCAGATGTTTTCCCTGGACTTTGGACTTCCCAGTCTCCAAAACTGTAAGAAATAAATTTTATTTCTTTATAAATTACTCAGTTTCAGGTATTCTGTTATAAACAATAGAAACAGACTAATACAAGTACATTTACTGCCCAATGTCATGTTAAAGATCAAGGAAAGAACTCCCTCAAGTTCTACCAAATGCAAATCATCACATTGTGCTCAAAGTGATCTTCTTCATCCTCAGGATGGGATTCTTGACACTGGCAATGACTCCTTCACCTGCACAGATTTGTTTGGCTGCCACCTTCATACTCAAGCCTTTTTTCTAAAGGTAAAACATAGGTTTTCGGGGCCGGCCTGGTGGCATGCTGCTACAGTGCACCACTTGGGAAGCGCGGCAGCGCTCCCGCTTGTACATTTCCTTCAAAATTCCTATATGGAATGCAGCAGGAAACCCATGATTTCCTGACACTCGGCACGCTGGAGGAAGCAAGGGGAAAAACTCCACTGAAAAGCCCAGCTTTCCTCCATGTTAGATATGAAGTGGAAAGTGAGGAAGATCTAGCAAAATTCCACCGTGACTTCAGCCAGGCTGGAGAAGAGGAGAGCAGAGTGAAACCCTCAGGCTGCTGAAACTTCTAGACTGCCAGGAAGCCCCTAGAATTCTGTGAAAATGAGGATTTCTTAACTCAAACTGATAAGGAAAAAGAGACAAACCCTTTTAATAATTCCCCCAAGTGTATGTTACTTTTGTTTACCGGTATGGTAAGCAATAGGGCATATGCTAGCCTCGGACATGTCTGTATGATCCAAGGTGACCAAAGTAAGGCAGAGTAAACTCAAGCCTGGCATTCGATCCCCACTGCTTCATGTGCTTTGGAAGCAGCAACAGCAGCAGCAGGAGTCACAGCAGCTGGAGCCGCAAGAATGAACTGCAAAGAGGGAAATGACAGCAGCTGCGGCTGCGGTGGCAACGAGGAAAAGAAGATGTTGAAGTGTGTGGTGGTCGGGGACGGCGCCGTGGGGAAAACCTGCTTGCTGATGAGCTATGCCAATGATGCCTTCCCAGAGGAATACGTGCCCACTGTGTTTGACCACTATGCAGGTAAGAAAAAGTGGGAAACTCTCTGCATCCAGATGAACCATGTGGGAGGTGATACCCCAAGTTCAGAGGGGCCTGGCTTATTTCTAATATCAGTATGGGGATATAATATCAGTATTGGCAATAACCAGGTAGTTCAGTGTAACATACAACCAAGGACTTTGCTGGGGTTGGTGGGAGAACAATTCATGCAGTAATTTGTATTTTAACACCTCTTTCCTCGCTTAAAGCAAATGAGTAACACTGGGAAAACACCCTGAACTGCCCTGTAGGTTTGGGGGCCAGGGGTTTTATTCAACACTTGCCTGAAGATTCATCAACTTCTTATTGTAAACATTTTATGATGTAGTGTATAATTCCCTCACAATTATTTTCTACAAAAAGAAAAATCACCATTAGACACAGAACTGGTAGAAGAAATACTCTTGCCACTTATTATGCCACCTCATGCCATTCATAAATGAAAATTCTAAGATTAATAAATAAAACACTCATTCTTTTCTATAAAAATTGGTGCCATAACACTTTACTTTCATTTTCCTGAGGTTGCAGATGGGAGAAAAAGTATTAAATGTTTTAAATATCTATTTGGCAATCTGTAGCTTAGATTTAAAAAACATTTTTAATTGATATGCTTTAAAAAGTAAAAATAAAAATACAAATGAAATCTGAATCAGCTATGGAAGGTATGTCCCAAAAAGGCAAAATTGAGCATAAAATATTTTAAAGCATGACAGTTAAGATACTGTAGTCACAACTTAATTCTTTCAGTGGACCTTTCTGAAATTTGTAGGTATACTTCTCAGTGTGATGGCACTATCTAAATTTTTCCATTTTGACTCTTCCTTTTTTCTCTTATTTCCAAAACAAATCTTATTAAGTTTCTCAAGTGCAAGTGCATAAAATTCTTCAAGCGTACAGTAGCCTAAATTTTATAATTTTTTTGAACACAACGATCAGCACCATAAGTTATTAGAGACTTGAGATTTTTGTAAGAGGAAAATTTCTCTTCCTTCACCCCGGCTTTTAGTCTGCTTCAGCAAAGGGGAAATGGTCCACAGAAAACCAGTGTGAGTATTTGCTTTGCTATGTGGCCATTTGAAATCCTCCTTGTACAGGAAGTAGCTTCTTTTCCAGAGCTAAACGATCACCTAAGACCCCTCTTCCTCCTACATTTAATATTGTCACATACGACGGAGCAGACAGGGAGAGAACTACAGTGAATAGAATATCCATTTCCCAGCAGGTTTTTCTGTATTTGTAGAAATTAAGAGCAAATTTCAATGCTGGCTCCCTTTAGCTTAGATTTAAAAAACATTTTTAATTGATATGCTTTAAAAAGTAAAAATAAAAATACAAATGAAATCTGAATCAGCTATGGAAGGTATGTCCCAAAAAGGCAAAATTGAGCATAAAATATTTTAAAGCATGACAGTTAAGATACTGTAGTCACAACTTAATTCTTTCAGTGGACCTTTCTGAAATTTGTAGGTATACTTCTCAGTATGAAGGCACCATCTAAATTTTTCCATTTTGACTCTTCCTTTTTTCTCTTATTTCCAAAACAAATCTTATTAAGTTTCTCAAGTGCAAGTGCATAAAATTCTTCAAGCGTACAGTAGCCTAAATTTTATAATTTTTTTGAACACAACGATCAGCACCATAAGTTATTAGAGACTTGAGATTTTTGTAAGAGGAAAATTTCTCTTCCTTCACCCCGGCTTTTAGTCTGCTTCAGCAAAGGGGAAATGGTCCACAGAAAACCAGTGTGAGTATTTGCTTTGCTATGTGGCCATTTGAAATCCTCCTTGTACAGGAAGTAGCTTCTTTTCCAGAGCTAAACGATCACCTAAGACCCCTCTTCCTCCTACATTTAATATTGTCACATACGACGGAGCAGACAGGGAGAGAACTACAGTGAATAGAATATCCATTTCCCAGCAGGTTTTTCTGTATTTGTAGAAATTAAGAGCAAATTTCAATGCTGGCTCCCTTAAACTTTTCTGAAAATATAATGACTATGCCCAGAGAAGAATATTTTAATGAGAACAAAATAATGAGAAGAACAGATAGACTTTCATCTTGAGAAAAAAACTAATTATAAAATTTGCTGGTCTGTGCCTTGAGACAGTTACTCAGATTCTTGTCCTAAAAACATCTTAGCAAAAGTTATTTATTCTACACCTTCTTTCTGATAGGAAAGGGTAAGTGTCTAGTACCTTATTTCAAAAACTTTTAGATCAAAGGTGGAAACCAAAGTCTAGTAAAGGGAGAGGCTTCAAATGCTTACAAAAATTTATCTAAATCTTCATTTATTGGGTGAACCAATTACAATGTATTGTAAGGAAGAAAGAGGATAAAACCATCTTTAGAGAGAAAGTCAGCCTATTAAAAAAACACATTAGAGATTAAACAAAGGCTGAACCACAGAAAGATTCCACTAGGATCAAATTATTTTATATTTCAATTATGTATATACATACTGTTGTTTGAGCATCAAAGCACCTTAAAGATTTTGACTACTAAAAAAAAAAAAAAAGATTTTGACTACTGTGTTATTATAGCTCCCAAGAAATCACAGCCACTGTGCCCAAAGCAATACTTTGCACATAGTAGGCATTCCTAAACATAGTTGCCTTGATTTACAATTTGTACATCTTTAAGTACATAATTATCTCATCTGCCTTCAGTACAATTGAAAAGTAAATACAGACATGAGACACATACACGTAGGATCATAATGAAATGATCTTTTCTATGAACAGAGGGATCTCCATTACAAAGACTATCTCCTTCCACTACCACCCTCCTCATATGGGATCTGCTTGAATGGAAGTCCTTAGGTAGTCAAATGAGAATCTACAGTCAATTGTAAAACACCTAAATGCCCTCTTCTCCATTTGGATCCATTATCCAGTTCCTGGGCCCCACTGGCTCACTCTAAAATGACAACCTGCAATTGGGCTACTGAGCCATTAGAAAATTGCATTTTAAATCAAAGAGAGCCCATCCCTTGAGGAAGATTTTTCACTGATAGCTGCCCATCCCGGCAAGTGGAGATATTACAGTAGGGATGAAAATACAACATACTGCTCAAGATCGGTGAGCTCTGAAGCCAAATGGCCCAGTTCTAACACTGGTTTTGCCATTTACTCTGTGAACTTGAGCAAGTTACTTAACCTCTGTGCCTCAGTTATCATGAATAAAAAACAGGGACAATAAAGGTATTAGATTGTGAGAACAAAATTCATTAATATATATATATATATATATAAAGCTTTTAGAACATACGTTAGGTACATGGTAGCTATTAAGAATGAGTTCTCAACACTCGCATAAAGCTATGAAAGGGAAGTAAAATGTAACTACAAGAGACTACGACAAGGAAAAATGTACTTCCAAGAGTGTCCTTCAGAAGAAAAAGGTGTAATGGAGTGTATATATTGTCCCTGTAAAATAGTTACCATGTCCACTGATAACTGACGAATATGTCTATCTATACGGAGCAACAGTAGTGGGATGTTAACTTGCATGACTGAGTGTAGAAAAATCACCAACCAACTAGAAAAAGACGGTTTTGAGTTTTTTGAATCCTGGTTTTATGAATAGATTAATGCCCTCCTTTGGGAGTGAATAAGTTCACACTTCATTAATTCCCACAAGAGTTGGTTGTTAAAAGGAGCCTGGCACCTCCCCTCTCTCTCTCTCTCTCTCTTGCTTTCTCTCTCACCATGTGATCTCTGTGTACACACCAGCTGCCCTGCAGCTCTCCATCATGAGAAGAAGCAGCATGAGGCCGCTGCCAGATGCACCTGCCTCCAGAATCACGAGCCAAATAAACCCCTTTTCCTTATAAATCACCCAGTCTCAGGTATCCTGTCATAACACAAAAACAGACTAAAACAGCACTCCATGACTTGTTCCTGTTATCTCTTCAACCTCATCTCGTAACGCTCTCCTCTAAAGTATTTCTGCTGTAGTCACACTAGCCATCTTGCTATTCCTCAAACACACCAAACTCCTTCCTTCCTTGAAGATTTTATACTTGCACTTACCCAGCCTGACACTGTTCTCCATATCTTCCTTAGCTTCGATGGGCCACACTACTTAATTCACATGTATACACACACACACACACACACACAGACGCACGCACACAGTCACTCCTTATCCTGCTACATCTTTCTTCATAATATTTAACACTATTTGACAACACATAATGTATTAATTTGCTATCCACAGCTTCTAAAAACAGAGCCCAATACATGAGACTCTCAATAGATGTGCATTGAATAAATGAATTGATATGTCTTAATTATCTTAGTCCCTTCAGAACTTAGATAGTTCCCAGTCCACTAAAACTTTGATGAATAAATGAACAAATTGCTGGTCCAATAGTTATCTCTTTAGGAATAAACAAATAAAAATATTTATTAAATTTATTATATTTTTGAACTATTCTGTTCACATTTTAAATAGTCATTTTATCTCCACTGTAATTGTAATACAGCATTAAATTTCCTTGACCTAAGTGGATAGTGTCACATCTATCAAATAGTGTAATTCTATATGTGTAAATGTCACTTGGGATTCTTCCATTTGCATTACATTCCATAGCTGACCTAAATTTTGGGTGGCCACTCAAACACTTGTAGTGTCTATATCCAGAGCATATTTCAGAGTAACCCTAAGTTCAACTGAGAGTGAGTACTAAAAAGTAGGGCAATGGGATGACAGCAGAAAGGGTCACTGGCATTTGCTACAGGTGTACCCCGGAAATATCTCTGGGCCCTGCTTTCTACTCCCTATCAGGGATGACTCAAGATGTCCTAACAACCCTCAGAGCTTTGACAGCTTACCACAGAACAATCACATTTCTTCTTGCATCTTATCTATATCCTATCTTTAGCTTTGAGTCTTGGAGCAGACCCCTTACTGGAAAATATTCTTATCTATTGATGTTTCACATTACATATGTCATAAGGATAAGACTTCCATTTGGGGTTTAGTTAGATTGCATGTTGAGTGAGTTGGATCATGTGCATGGTTTGTATGTTTGGGTTCATGGGTATATAAAACAAGCCAGTTCCAGTTGAAATCTGTTTGTAATGTTGCCAGGTTTATATCATTTTCCTCATCCTCTGTATTAAAATTGATCATGTATGTGGATCTTTCTTCCGTCACCCACTGCTCCTAGGGCTTTTTCATCTTGAGCCATCAAATTTGGAAATTTACTTTAAGCCATTATTTACAAACCCAGGCTACCTATGCAGGAAATTAACACAATTCATGGAAAGGAGGAAAATCCAGTTACTCTATCAGCTGAGTGAGATGTAAAAGGAAGTTGTTTTCACAGAGAGCTGAAAGTCAGGTCTAACTTTTTCCACCTAATTAAATAGTTATTTGCCCAAAGTAGACTCAGTCACAACTTTAATGGCCAGAGAAGGAGGGGGTGGGGGTGGGGCTGAATAATGTGCAATCCACAGGGGGGGGGAAATAACATAAAAATAATAAAAAGTGAATGAAAACAAGGTCTCATGCTTATTAATGGTTGTGACATAGTTCTGCCCATTGGGGAAAATGTACTCAGAAGTTTCTCTTTTGCTCTTTTTGAAGATAACTGAGAGTGTCTGCAGAATGGATGAGATTCATTTTTTGTAAGCTACAAGGAAACCTAAAGCAACTCTCATGGGACTATGAAATAAATCACCAGGTTCTTAACCTTAGACAAAAATATAAAAGAAGTTTGTAAAAGAGGAGACAAGAACAGGCCAGTTAAATCACTCACTCTGTTTCTTCTAAGTGCAATGATAGTCAAAAACCCAAAGTTTCAGAGGTATCCAATCCCCTTGTATCACTTTCAGGGCATTGTAATGTGTGTCTGATGCTTTTTCTACACTCTGGGAGGCCACACTAAAGATACAGTGACAGGAGTCATATGTACAGTTTCCTCTCAGTCTATGTTGTGATGCTTAAGAGAGCAAGCTCACTCAGAGGCTTCAGGGGTGGAAACTGCACTCAGAAAGCCAAAACATATTGCAGAGATGGAAAATCATGAGCTGCTTCTCTTAGGAGTAAGAAAGAAGGAATAGAAGAGGGAGAAAGAAAAGTGAGTAGCTGTGGCCAGAGTGGCATAAGAAAACTCATGTCCCCAGGGCTGGAGATTCCATCTGCCACCCCTGACCGTCCTGCATTCCAGCTTTACCTGGCAACAAACTAAGGACTGTGGCCAATTCAGGCCTTGGTGGACAGGCTCCCTGTGCATAAGACATTTAGTTTCACACAGCCTGGCTCCCTTCACTATCCAGGTTAGGAAATGCTTCGGGCCGCCCGGTGGCTCACTGGAGAGTGCGCCGCTTGGGAGCGCGGCGACCCTCCCACCGAGGGTTCGGATCCCATGTGGAGACCGGTTCCCGCTCACTGGCTGAGTGCGGTGCAGGTGCAGCACCGAGGGTTGTGATCCCCTTGCCAGTCCCCGGTACGGGCGCGACACCGAGGGTTGCGATCCCGTTACCGGTCAGTAAAAAAGACAAAAAGGAAAAAAAAAAAAAGGAAATGCTTCATAAAGTTTACTACCTAACTGCCCATTGTAGTTGGGCTTCGGGTAAGCTGTATTTTATTTCCGAAATAGCTTTTTTAGAACTTGCATGTCTCCCTCTTCTTGGGGGCAAATAGCAAATTTGGCTCTGAGATGTTCAGTAAATTGAATGTCTATGTATTTGGATACAGTTGCCCTGCTCTACAAAGGCAGCATGAAAGTGGGCAACAGACAGAGGCCTCTCAGGAAAAGACAAGTAAGAAAACTCAACAGAAACTGTCTCCCTCATTAATCCTGAGCACAAGATCCACATGGATCTGTGGAGGTCTTACCTCCTGTGTAAAGCTACAGATTCTGATTTGGCTGAACATCTACTTTCCCACAAACAAAAATCCGTGACACTTCTGGGTTAGTTAGCAGAATCCAAACAGTTAACTTTCCGGAGATAAAACAGGATAAATCCCATCATGAATTCAATAGGGGCCAACTCTGAGTCACAGCATGGCCTGGTATTGTTTCTGAATACTCGGAAGTCTGTCAACTTTTTGGATGTGCTCGATTTTCACAAAACAAAAGGACCTGATTCTCATGTATTTACTTAAGCATTTTGTCTTGGTTCACAATACAACTTTTTTCTACAGCATTCTTCATTCCCAATCTCAGCATGAATTTCACTTTTTGGATGTGCTCGATTTTCACAAAACAAAAGGACCTGATTCTCATGTATTTACTTAAGTATTTTGTCTTGGTTCACAATACAACTTTTTTCTACAGCATTCTTCATTCCCAATCTCAGCATGAATTTCATTACAGCCATGTGTAAACCTACAAGCAGTATATCGGTAGTACTTATGAAACTAGATTGCCACCAGAATATATATTAAAAACAATAACAATAGCTATACACTTATATGGTCCTTGCTATGATTCAGGAATATCTGAAGTATTTTCATACATCAATTCATTGTCTCCTTACAATGATCCTATGAGATGCTATTATTCTTTTAATTTTACTGATGAGGAAACCTAGGTACAAAAATATTAATCAACTTTCCCAAGGTTAAAGCATTGGTAATGGAGTAAGTTAAAGTCATGGAATAGTAAACAATGTAAGTAGTGTATAGGTTTGATTAATAACATTAATCAAAAAGCCATTGTTAGTTAGGGTATACTAACCTGCTATAACAAATAGACCAAAAAATGTAAGGAATTAATTCAATGGCAGGGTATTTCTTGTTATGTTATGCTTCTGGGCAGGTATTCAAGTCAGTAGAACTGCTTTCCTCCATGTGGTCATTTAGGGACTCAGGCTCTTTCCATCTTGTGACCCTGCTATCCCCTAGGATCTCATAGTTATCTGCATCTAACTAGCCTAATAAGAAAGAATGTGGAGAAACTTGAAGAGAAGGTTTTATGGGCCTGGCCTGGAAGTGACAGACATCATTTCCAGTCATACTCCTTAGCAGATAACTTGGTCACAAGGTCACATCTCACTCTAAGGGAGGCTGGGAAGAAACCCACCTATGTGCCAAAAGAAGGGAGGAATGAATTTTGATGGAAACTAGCAATCTCTGCCTGCATTGGACTCTCAGGCCAGCAAATATCCTTGCACACTTTTTCCCACAGGTAAAACAAACTCACCCTTTTCCCCAGAGGAACCATCCAGAGTCCCATTCTGTCACCACAAACAGGTCAAAGACCAGCATCTGTAACTGATGTACTGTTTTCTCCACTTGATCTAGGTGAGGTTCCCTGTGGTCCAACAGAAGACAAATTATCTGCCCCAGATACATATCACCCCTTATACAATGGTGGAAAAGGAATGGGATAACCAAAATGTTCAAACCCCCCTATAGAAAAGGAAGAATGGGACATCGCAATAATAGAATCCTGATGGCAATCCTGATGGCAACTTCTATTTGTGGAATGCAGAAACAATCAGTTTTCCAACTCTGTAAGGTCGTTAATATCTGTGTTCTATCAATCTTTGTATAAAAAACAAACAATGCAGCTCTTCCCTTTCTTGTAACACCTTGCTAAACACATAAAGTAACAATTAATGTACACTAACATTCTGGCTTTTTCTAGTCTTTTCATAAAGTGCTATGGACTCAGTAGGAACTAGGTTTACCTTCCAGGTTTCACAGACAATAGTTTTACAAAATGTTTTGCCACAGTATAACATAGCTCTTCATCTCTCCAACCTGCTGTTTACTCACCATCTGCCACCTATCAGCTAAGCCAACAGCACACTTTCTTGGGTTTCTATAATGATGGTGCCACACTACTAGGTAAGCTAGGGTGCTGTAACAAATAGACCCTAATATATAATGGTTCAAACTAGAATTCAATTTCTTGATCACATAAGAGACCTGGGTAGGTATTTGAGTTAGTGATATGGTTCTGTTCCATGCAGTCATTCAGGGATCTACTCTTTTCTATCTTGTGACTCTGTCATTGCCTAAGGGTTTGTGTGCTCTGTATCTAGACAATGGAAGATGAAAGACTATGGAAGAGTGAGGGGCGGAGTAGGCACACAGGTGTCATGCATCTCTTCTGTTCACATTTCACTGGAGGGAACTTAGACAATAGGCCACACATAATTGCAAGGAAGGCTAGCTATGTGCCCAAAGAAGGAAAAAACAGATTTTAATTGACACAGTAATCTTCACCATAGTCACTAAGCTGAAATTGCATATATCAAATATAATAGTCACAGATAAACAACATAAACTGCCCTAGTGCCATATTTAATTAGCTATTTATTCAACTACAAATGACATGCCTGTATTTCCTAGACTTGCCTAGTCATTAAAAAAACCTCATTGTCAGAAATGTAGATTCTTGGATTTATGCCAAGGCTGCTAAATCAGACTCTTTAAGAGAAAGGGCTCTGAATATGAATTTCAACAAACATCCTAGGCATTTCTTATTAGGTAGAACCTCCAAAACTGCCATTTTGTAGTTAAAAACCATTTGAATATCAAAAATTCATATAGTTTAAACTAATATAATTTAGCAAGTTCAGAAAACCCTTCTTTATGCTATAAAGGTGCCTATAAATCAAGCCAAAGAAGCAATTTTATAACCAAACATCAATCAATAAAAAGCAACTTAAAAACAGATATACATAAAAAATGTCTTGACTTAGGACTTTCTAACATTGTGTAAAACACAAGAGGTTTATTTTAGAGCCTCTCAGAAACAGCTTGCAAATCCCTGAATGAGAAAGCAGGTGCTCTCAAAAAAAGATCTGCACCCATGGCTGGGACACAGAGAGAGGTTGGAAGAAGGAGAATACAGAAAGCTGAGAATAATATTTGGGGTGGCTGGTTCAGGGTGGGCAGAGAGCCTCAGAGATTCAGAACAGAGGCAAGTAGAAACTGTAAAGCATAGCAGTAAAAAGACTAACCAGGCGGACTTGTGTTCACCAAGCACCAGCTTGAGCTTGGGCATGAACACAAAGCTGCATAAGTGTGAATTGCTGAGCCTGCTGCCTATAAAATGAATAATCACCATGACTGTGAGACCTTCGGAAGGGTCATGGAGGGAAATCAGAGAACACCTACTCTCATGGGAAGAAGTAAAAGAAACCTGAAAAACAGGAAAGAGCCTGGGATCCTTGGGGTGGTTTTGGTACAGTTCTGTCTTGGAAGCTACTATTGATCTTCCATATCCATCCAACTCCATGATTATGAAATGAACAGTAAACATCTGTTTCTCCTCTGCAAATCCTCTGTGCTTCTTCATGCTTTGACTTAACATTTGGGGAAAAGGAGAAAAAACAGAAATGGAAAACCTCCTACAATACAATTTTTCTGAGTCCAAAAAGGCTTCTGCTTAGGCTAGGATCTGAAAAAGAGAGCGTGTAAATCCTGAGAGAAGCAGAAATCTCCTAGCTAGAACTCAGCTGCCCTTGTCAGGACAACCAGCTGGCAAGCACTCCTGTTAGTGGGGACCAAGCTTTCCTTTGGAGCATCTCCAGCTGTTTTAATATAAATTGGTAAATCAGGACTTAGAATGTGATTCTACTTGCAAACATGAGAGAAACAACCCTCTGTGTGGGCCTGAGCAGAATACACCGTAATGAACAAAACTGGTTCCTAATCTTTTTGCAGTGATAGTTAGTTTATTGATTAAAAAAAAAGCAATTAGCTAATATTAAGTGGCTGAATCTTTCCTATGTGTCAAGTCCTGTGTTACTTTTGCTATCTTGCTTGAGCCTCACATTACCAGTAGGGAGTAGCAGGTATCCTCATTTCGCAGACCAGAGAACTGAAGCTCAGAGAAGTAACTTTTCAACATCACAGGGCTAGGAAGTGGCAGGATTAGGATTCAAATCTATCATCTCAAGTGTTACTTCCTCAGGGAGGCCAGACCACCCTGATTAAATAAGGCTCCCTTTCAAAACCTGTTTATTTCCTCTATAATTATCTCATGTGTTTATTTAATTGTCCATTGCTTGTCTCTCCCTAGAATGTATACTTCCTGAAGGCAAGGTTCTTTCTGTCTTGTTTACTCTCAGGTCCCCAATGCCTAGGAATGAGCCAACAACACAACAACCACCCAGAAATGTTTGTTAAATGATATAATGAATGAACAAATGAGTGAGTGAATGACACCCAAGAGTCTCACTGTCTTAACCACCGCACCACAAACTGAAGTTAGCCCCCTGCGTGAACAGTCAGAATAATTTTCGATGTTGAAATTATTTGATCCTCCCACATCCTAAAAGGATATATCCTAAGCATCACGAACATACATTCAAAAAAGATTGTATTGGCCTTATTTAAAATTTGTAAAAAAAAATTTTAGTTTTCTAGGGAAAAAATTCCAAAAGGTTTTGCTTCCAGTCAAATTTCAAACTTGTGAATTCTGAGTGATATAACTAGGCATAAAATTGTTTTACAAAATTTTTTTTCAGGGCCAGCCCGGCAAGCATCACGAACATACATTCAAAAAAGATTGTATTGGCCTTATTTAAAATTTGTAAAAAAAATTTTAGTTTTCTAGGGAAAAAATTCCAAAAGGTTTTGCTTCCAGTCAAATTTCAAACTTGTGAATTCTGAGTGATATAACTAGGCATAAAGTTGTTTTACAAAATTTTTTTTCAAATAATGAGATTAATTAAAAGGAAAAATAATAAGCAAGTAATTTCCTTAATATATGCCAGGCGTAAACCTCCTAAGAAATATGAATGATATTTATAAAAGGCAACTATTCATTTCTTAGAACATGTACCAGTTTTCAGCTGGTATGCTTACAAGAGAAGTAATGAATATGTTCATAAACACTAATAATGGGGCACTTTACATTTGTCAAACGCTCACTGGCTGAGCGGGGCGCGGGAGCAACACCGAGGGTTGCAATCCCATTGCCGGTCCCCGGTCCGGTACGGGGGCAACACTGAGGGTTGCGATCCGTTGCCGGACACGGAAAAAAGACAAAAGACAAAAAAAAAAAAAAAAAATTTTTTTCAAATAATGAGATTAATTAAAAGGAAAAGTAATAAGCAAGTAATTTCCTTAATATATGCCAGGCGTAAACCTCCTAAGAAATATGAATGATATTTATAAAAGGCAACTATTCAATTCTTAGAACATGTACCAATTTTCAGCTGGTATGCTTACAAGAGAAGCAATGAATATGTTCATAAACACTAATAATGGGGCACTTTACATTTGTCAAAGTATTTCTCTTTCTGTGCCTGACTCGTTTCACTTAATATAATTCTCTCAAGGTCCATCCATGTTGTTGCAAATGGCAGTATTTCATTCGTTTTTATAGCTGAGTAGTACACAATGGAATACTACTCAGCTATAAAAATGAATGCTAAATCTTAAGTGTCAATTTGAGGCATAGATTTTGCTGTAGACATTCTGCTCTATTCATTTCATTCATTCATCCTCTTAATAACTCTCCATACCAGGCTCTTTCTTTTACATAAACCAAATCTGTCATGCTACAGGTCAGAGTCATTTCCTCTTCCTCAATCTCAGCAAAGATAGAGAAAAGCTCACTACCATCCTCATTAGAATGCCTCTTAATAATGGGCCGGCCCGGTGGCGCACTGCTACAGTGCGCCGCTTGAGAGCGTGGCGGCGCTCCCGCAGGTGCGGGCGCAACACCAAGGGTTGCGATCCCGTTGCCGGTCCCGGTCCGGTACGGGCACGACACTGAGGGTTGCGATCCGTTGCCGGTCATGAAAAAAGACAAAAAGGAAAAAAAAAAAAAAAACAGAATGCCTCTTAATGTATTTGAAGACCAAGGATATTTCCTCCTTGTTATCTTCAGAAGATATACTCAGATCTTCCCAAGTCCCTTCATAGTTATTTGACCTATTCTTTCCCGTTTTGGTAGGAATAGGCATCTTAGCAACATGGTTAGGTGCAGTCCTAACAGGATGTAGAAGCCTAGACTAAATAATCCTTTATATTATCTCTATCTTTTGCGTTTTTCCTCTTGTTGTTCACATTAATTTAGGTCAGCCTAATGAAATGTAGAGAACTGAAGTCATCAACATGAGCATACTACATTTTCTCTTCCAGCATTTTAATAAATCTCCATTAATTATCCCTAGGTTTATCTACATTATAATATGTTAAGTCTTTCAAAGGATAGAATTTCTTTGGATCCCAGAATTAATAAAATTATGGGATCTTTAAATAAGTTCAAGGGCGACATGTAGCACATTGAAGAGCATACTCAATCTTGATTCCTTAGGTCAACACATTTTTTGGCATTATAGAAGACATTTTGGTCCCTATGATTACCATAGATCACTGTGTTTTATATTAATAAATACTCTTATCATTGTAAGAGATATTCTCATATTACTAGGATTTAGTATGCAGTAGATTTCAAATCATCCTGTTATTCTTATGCTTCATTCACTTCCCACCAGTTGACACATTAAAAGGTTATTGAGGGCAGTGCGCATCAGCCAAACATCCTGTTTAGTAACCTCACCAATTACTACAGATTGAATTCCAGTTTCACAAAAGACATTCTATACCAGGGTGATCTAGAACCCAGTAGATTTTTCTGGACACAGGAA